TGAAGACGGGTGTCTCTCCTCTCCTCTCCAGCCCCTCTTCCAGACTCAGAAGAACACAGTTTGATTTGACGCATCTTCTCATTTAAACCTAACTAATGTGAAGGATTCCTCGGGGCTTATTATTCGCCCTAGAGTCTGAGCACCAAGCAGAGAAGGGAAGACCCTAAGAAGCCAGTAACAATTGTACCACAGAAGTGAAAGGACGGCTGCGTGAGCTTCTCAAGGATGGGGCGGCGGCCACCCTGGACACCCAAAGCAACTCCCTGCAGCCGACGCGATTTCCACAGAAGAGGCGTCCCACTGGATTCCCAGGGACGGGGCTAAGAAGGGCAAAGGGCCGCAGGGTTGGTAGAAGACACATAATTCCTTCTCAAGAGAAACACAGCCAAATAGTCCTCAAAGGCATGGAACAAAAATGCCAGGAAATTGCATATAGTACAACTCAGTTTTCAAAAATCTGCCCCAACCAGAGACTCACCCAGGTTCCTATGAGAACGCTCAGACTGGCTGCCGTGGAAACCTTTCGCTAAAGACCCCGCCTGTGCTTACCCGTCTCCCCGCTCTCCTTCCTTCCTCCCACCTTACCCACTTGGGGACAGAGGTGTCCAGCAGATCAGAGCCAGGGAAGCTTAGCTGGGGAGAGTCACAGGACACCCACGAAGCTCCTGCTTCGCACAGCAAACCTGCCACCTATGGGCACCAGAAAGACGGGACAGTTCTGAAAGAAATTTTACTGTAAACCAAGTTCAGAAATCTTTCTGCCATATGGAAATGGACATCAGATTTCAATAATTGAATTATTTATAGGACTAAAAGTGATGTCTGTGGGAGAAAGGAAGGGCCATCTGGGCAGAGAAGCCTATGGGGGACTCAAAATGCTCCCTATTTGATGTACTTCTTTGCAACCTAATTGGTGGTTTTAGTTTACACTGAAAGGTTGAACCACAGTCTTCCAGACATACATGGTATTTTAGAAATCCTGTTCAGATTATACCCCGCAGGCATTAAGGTGGTGGAAAGGTCTGAGTAAAAGCCTAATAAATGTTTTTCCAAAACCAGGTAGATTTAGAGATTTTTTAAAATTAACTTTACACACTGGGCGGCACCTGTGGCTCAAAGGAGTAGGGCATCAGCCCCATATGCTGGAGGTGGCGAGTTCAAACCCAGCCCTGGCCAAAAAAAATACTGCAAAAAAAAAAAATAATAATAACTTTACACAATGGGTGGCACAGATGGTCCTCTGTTAACAGGTACAACTGTTAGTCAACCGGACATACCTCAGATGGTTCTTTTGTCCTGGTAATACTGGCTGAAAATATTTATTTATTTATTTATTTTTTTTGAGACAGAGCCTCAAGCTGTCCCCCTGGGTAGAGTGCTGTGGCATCACAGCTCACAGCAACCTCCAACTCCTGGGCTCAAGCGAGT